AATTAACTGCATAAGCTGTAAGCTTGGGTGGGAATAACCAGGGATTACTCAAACGATAATTGTTCTCCAAATGTCACCCATTAGTGAACAAGTTATTATAATTATTAATGTACTTACAAAAAGTACAATGGTTTCGATGTGTCACTCAATGTTCAATTAAAAGACAGCCGTAGTGAAATCTTTAAAAATTATAGTGAGAAAGACATTAATCTATTTTTGAACGTATAACCGAAAAATCCTCTGAACAGTTGCGCATGCCCCGTCATACTTGCAAAGTCTTATCCCCTCCACGCAATTTTGCAATCACGTTTATTGCTGATAATTTCCAGAGTAATGACTCTGAAACGTCGATTCGAATGAATATAGTATTTACAAACGATCTGCAAACGATTACAATAAAAGAAATCATTTAAGAGTGATTAGAAAAAAAAATGAGGCTAACTACATGGGTCATAAGTTTTTTATTTTTTATAAAAAAACGATCTATTCTTAAACATTATGACCTTTTTTGCAATCACCTGCGAACGATTTACAATCGATTGTATGAGTTCGTTTTTGTAATTGTTGATAATTTGCGGCTAATTACATACTGCTATAATCTCTGGCCTTACTCACACATGCGGCTTTTGATTAGTTCACGTCGCCGCCGCAATTAATCCTTCTTTAAGTACCTTTTGCATTAGCCCAATCTCCCTTCCAGTCATAACACTTACTTAAATCCTTGTCCCGCCATTCCAATAATTTCATACAAGTGCATTAGGATATCAGAAACATGGCAGCAGACGACATCGTTACCGAATCGATGGAAATTGATGAAATTCTATCAACGAATACACGAAACATACATACGAAAGGAAAATCAACCAAATTGTCACACTTACCGTGGTATATATCACTTTAATAACCTCTGCCTATTTCTAACCTCGAGTAGATTGCAATGAAGTTAGGTTATGCATGTTTGAAAATTTATAAATTATTATAGGATTGAAAAATATCGTCCACAAGTGTTTACTGATATTGTTGGAAATGAGGACACGGTCACTCGTCTGTCAGTATTTGCTCAGCATGGGAACGCTCCAAATATCATCATCGCCGGACCTCCTGGTGTAGGCAAAACTACCACAATACTTTGTCTCGCTAGGATTTTACTGGGATCTGCTTACAAGGACTGTGTACTTGAGCTGAATGCTTCTAATGATCGAGGAATCGATGTGGTCAGGAATAAAATTAAGCTATTTGCTCAAAAGAAGGTAAAGAGTGTCTTGGAATAGACTTTCATGTATTTATCTCTGATTAATTTAGAATTAAGGAAAGCCGTATATGTGTAAATAGGTCGTTCCACTAATTCCCAGCAGGATGATACGTTTCAAATCTTGAAAGTATGCTCTCTATTTTTTATGGAAAATTTATATTATATTATTATATTGTATTATATCTCTATATATTATATCTCTATCTATTATATCTCTATCTATATCTGTAGGCAATCTCTACCTTAATTATCAACAGAAGATGCTTAAATATCGAATATTTTTTAGTTCGTCTCCTCAAAACGTTTGCTTTTGAAATTAAATCAGGAGCACTTATTGCGAATAAACAAAAATGTAGAGCCACCGTTTTCGGCAAAAATTTTCTCCACTTAGAAAAAAAAATATGTACAGTTTTTATTTTTTTATTTTACAGGGGTAACTTCAAATAGTAGATTACGCAAATTTAGTGTATCTCATTTACTTCACATAAAATAGTATAGAGCACTCGGTAAAATTTTTTTTTTAACAAAAAGAGAGTGCAGACCTCACCAACACCTGAGTGTGCCAATTTAATATTCGTTGAACAATAAACATTTCTGGCCCCTCGACCCGGCCTAACCTCGTTCCTTTCATACCTAGACCTGATAAGTGTTACTTACTGGGCTGGGCTTGCTCAGAATTAGTTTTTGGGAAATATGTTCACATCTACATAAGAATGAGAAATTTTTCGGAAAACAGTATGACATCTAAAAAAACTTGCATAAAATTTTTCTCTATTTGTCGTAGTTTCGAAAGTATTTAACAGGAAATATTGTCAAATTCAGTTATGGATCAGCTTTCCCACTATATTGCAGGATGGAAGTAGAATATCAATTTTTCAATTTTTCAATTTTTCAATTTTTCAATTTTTCAATTTTTCAATAAGAGCCTTCGTTGTAGTCCAGACCAAGATCTACCACAATGGTTATTACCAAATATTATCTATCGCCCTTCTATTGCAGGATATTTGAAAAAGACTAACAATGTCTGATTTTGGAGTCCGAGTGATACTCATTACATACCCCACCATACTTATCGCGTATAGAGTACACTGTATGTATGTGTTTATCACTTTTCTTTTCTCTCTCCTTTCCTTCACCAGAGATTGATGGAATATCATGACTTTTGTCAATGAATATAGATTTTCAAAAGCTCTATTGAAACTAATAATTTTTGAAATTGCCATGACGATTCCGAAGAATCCGTAATTTGCACTAAAATTTGTCTTTTGCTTCCGAACGGAAGCATTGCAATCGTTCGATTTTTCGATTCTCTAATTTTGCCTGGAAATGACGTAGAATGATCTGAAACGTAAAAATACCACGTTTGTAGACCGTGTGTGTATGTGATTATGGCCAGCTGAGGGTCAATTTTTACAAAAGAAGGAGTATAATTGGGTAAATTAATTCCCAAAAATCTGAAATTTTGTCACTTCATAGGTTCTAATATGGACTTCATCTGTGCTGAATTTCAGCCCGATCGGTCGAGTAGTTTTTGAAATATCTATAATTGTTTCTGAAAAGTTTTTTGGAAATATCTCAGAAACTATCCAACCGTTTACATTTTTCATTCTTTTGAAATGTTCGTCTCAATGTGCTCTATATGGATCAGTCAGAATATATATATATGTTCCTACAAAGTTTTCGAGATATTTCAATTTTTATTTTTCTCAAAAAAATAATATATAATTATATGATTCAAAGTGTTTTACGCGTTCGAAGAAAAATCTCAAGATATTTCAATTTTTATTTTTTTTTTCAAAAAAATGCGAACTACAACCTCTCTCATTTCTAAAAATTAATCTATCAACTTGAAATTTGGCAGAAAGATTCCTCCTATGACTGCGATGGTTGGTATTGCAGATAGGCTAAATCGGATGATTCGTTCAAGAGATATTCAACTTTGTATCTGAAACGATTTTCTCAAATATCTCAAAAATAACACAATTGATTTTATTTTTCTTTTTTGCAAAATATTCGGTACATTATGCCCTAATTATATGAACCAAAGAGTTTCACGCGTTCGAAGAAAAATCTCAAGATATTTCAATTTTCATGTTTTAAAAAAAAATGCGAAGTACACCCTCTCTGATTTTTAAAAATCAATCTATCAACTTGAAATTTGGCAGAGAGGATCCTCTTATGACTGCGATGTTTGGTACTGCAGATGGGCTAAATCGGATGATTCTTTCAGAAGATATTCAACTTTGTATCTGAAACGATTTTCTCAAATATCTTAAAAACGACACAACTGATTTTATTTTTCTTTTTTTGCAAAATATTCGGTACATGATGCCCTAATTATATGAACCAAAGAGTTTTACGCGTTCGAAAAAAAATCTGAAGATATGTCAATTTTCATGTTTAAAAAAAAAATGCGACGTACACCCTTTCTGATTTTTAAAAATCAATCTATCAACTTGAAATTTGGCACAAAGTTTTCTGTTATGACCATTATGTTTCATATTGAAGATAGGCTTAATTCCAAAAATATGAAAATTTGAGAGATTACAGGTACTCCATTCGGAAGCTAACCATCAATGAAATTGATGGCAAAATAAAATTTAAAAAATAAATAAATAACATGTGAAGTACCAATCATCATCATCTTCTACGGCTAGCAACGGCAAACTGCTTGTTTTTTTCGTTTTTTCGAAATTTCACGAAGCATCAATAGAATCTTATGAATTTTCCCATCAATACAGACTTCCATGCGCTCCATGCACTGACACCAATTGGAATTGAAATCGACAGAAAGATTTGGAAATATTCGTATTTTTTCAACGATAACTCCAGTAATTATTATCAAAAAGGGATTAATGATAAAAAATTCTAAAAATTGATATTAATAGGCTATTGATCGTATCAGAAGTCAAGTTATAGCATACTGCATATGAGATTTTTTTTCATCCTCTTCCTGATCAATTTAAAATATGAGCAATATCAATGAAATGACTCAAATTCTTGCTCAATTTTTTTTCTCAAAGCATTCTTGTTCAAGGCAGAAGGTGATGAAACTACCCTTATTATTTTCCAATTTTTAGAACACTGAAATTAGCTTTGACATCAGATAACGCTAGCCTCCCTTTATTTTCCTTCGATGAGTTGTTGCCCCTATTGTGGGTGATCTAAGAGGGGGCATTATCAATAATATAAAAAATTAATTACTTTTTGACATATTTTGCACAATTGATGAAGCTGTCAGTGATAGTATGAATGAAACAACGAATGAATGGAATGAATTAATGAATTTCACAACGAGCCAGCTTCACTCCATCGCGTTATAATTCGATTTTCAATTGAGGATTTTATCACATGAGGTGATAAAAATTTAATTGAATATAAAGTCAATTTAGATACATTCCCATGTATTTGAATAAATATTTTGATAAGGAGAAGAAATGGAAACAATAAAATCTGAGAAACGAAAATCCATTCGAAAGCTTGTTGCTAATTCCTTAGCAACAGCAGCTATACGCAGTTCCTTATAATGGCATTTCCCACTTGTTATTGTTGGATTTAGATTTCAATCATTTTCTTTCAACTATTTCAGCGGTAAATAAACCTTAAAAATGACAAATATATTCTTTAAGGTTCCTTATGTAAAAAAGTTCACAGAATATGCAGAAGTTGAAATTTTATTGAAATTTGAAATATAAGTAAGAAGTCATCAATTTAAATTTAAAGTCATATATTTTATGATAGGTTTTTTGGCAGTCCTTGTTCTGGGTTACAAAAAAGATTTCTGGTGAAACATGAATCTTCTGCTCTAATCATGTGATATCATGGAAAAACTGATACATAACTGAATTTAACAATTTTTCGTGTTCGATATTTTCGAAACTATAACCGATGGGGAAACTCTATGAAAGTTCTTTTGTAGATCTCGTTCTGTCCTTCGAAAAAAAATAGTGATAACGAATTTTTAATCTCATTTAGATTTCATGCTATTTTCAAAAAAATAATTTTTTGTAATAGTAACATTTTTCCGTTTCTCTATTTGACTCTTGAATTGGTAAGAACACTACAAGTACAACATGTTTTAGTTAATGAATTGCCGAAGGTTTTTGCTTCTGAATGACAGTCTAGTATTTGAACGATTTTTTGATGTTCTAATTTCAGTCGCAACTTATCTAGAATATTCTGAACCGTGAAAAAAACTTATTTTTAGATCATATCTGTGTGTGCATGTGCCGGAAAATTGTAAATTTTGAGAATCAATTTCCAAAAAATTGGAAATAAATACGGTAAAATTCGTAGCTGAAGATCTGAATGTTCAACTTATTATAGCTATTATTAACATTTACTTTGATACGTCGTTTCAGCGCGATCGGTCCAGCAGTTCACGAGATATAGCAGCCATTATAAGTTTCGTTTTTTCCTGAATATTTCAAAAACTACTACAAGGATTTCATTTGTTTTCCAAAATACTCGTCTCAGTGGATCCTATCTATGTCAATTGAAATACCTACATCTGTTCCGATAAAATTTCGTGATATCGTTGTTTTTAGGTTTTAGCATCGTAAACGTTGTGAACATGATAATTCAATAAAAAATAGTGACAGCGAGTTGAAGTTTTGTATACTTGTGGATATACGCGCATTTTTTAGTAAATTTAGCTAAGGAAAAATTTATCATTTCCGGTTTCTCAGAAAGCATCTTAGTAAAAGAGATATTTGTCGTTGTTGGGATGAACAGAATATTTAATTAGGATAAATTGTTATTTTTTATATAACTAGGCATCACGCGCTGCCTAAGGTGCATGGTATTAATACTAATAATTGCTACACCTTTTTAATCTTTAATTCTCAATGTGAATTTAGATTTCAGTAATAGATTGACATCAGCTTGTTGACAAATTTAATAATAAGAAACAAATTCCAGATGGCAATCTATATACACAGAAAAAAAAAATTCGAGCTAATTTGGAACTACCAATTCGGGCTTGGAGTATGGCATGGG